AATTAAATACATGTGGGATATAAATTTTTTATATTTATGCACGGGAAAAAGAAAACAGGAATAATTGACTATTCGTTCAGCATTTTTTAGATTTTCAAATAGTAACCCAGCGCTTCGTTAACGAAAATCTAAAAGTTACAGCTTGGCGCTACGCAGTAAGTTTTACATTTTGAGTAAGAAATATTAGAGTTTCACGATGTATAAAAGTTACTATCTCACACTGTAAGTTTTTGTACAAGTCATTGAAATAATACTCGATAAGCGTTAAAATTTAGATTTTCATTTAACAAATTTGAATCTGATTTTTTACACGGAAATAAAAAAAAAATATCAATGTATAAAATATTTTTTTTCTCCCATTAATAATTCTCACTACCTAAATATTTATATCCTAATATTGCAATAAGTAACTATCTGTCATATATTGAATTTTAGTGTGGCAAAGATGGAAAACGGCAATTCTAAAGTCTATATGTGAAACAAAAAAAAAATTTTTTTTGAATGAAATTTAATTTTTGGTATTGGTTATTCATATATTCATGGGACATATTTCTTATCATATTTATTTTCGAAGTTTTTAATTTGAGGAAGGGGAGAGGGGATTAGTATTAGGAAATTAGTTGATCATATTACACACATACTCGCGTTCCTTATATAAATAAACTTATAATAATATTAATCGCAAATTACCCTAGCCAGGATTCGATCCCAGCGTCTACGCATGAAAGACCGACGTTTTATTCCGATGCTATTTGAACGACATTCGACATAGCATTCTGTTTAGTTTAAAAAGTCTTTATTGATCATATTTTATATACATACAAGATTTCTTTCATATGTAACATTACTTAAGGGTATTCATTTGGTACCTGTTATTTTAACTTAACCCAAAAGATATAAATAACATTTATAAAAAGTATTTTTAACATTACAATAAAATATACATCGTTTTAAAAATTATTTGAGGGAAAAAATAAAACAAAAACCCTAACAGACTTTATTATTTCTTACAACTAACTTAACCTTACAACTATTTTAATACTATTCAATACCTTATCAATTTATTTTGGTTGATAATTATTTGTTGTGGTAGATTGTATTTTAGACAAGGATGATCTTTTATTATTTTACAAACATTTTTGAGGATAGGTAATGAATGTAGTTTTGAATTGTAGAAGTTAAGAGACAATTTTTCTACATGCGCATGTATTGTAGGAAAATGGATTTGATTATGTAGATACGTGATATTTGTACTGTAGTCGGCACCAATGGCCATGCGCAAGCATTTATTTTGAAGTCTTTGGAGCTTATTGTAATTTGTCTTATATGTATTGCTCCAAATGGGACACGCATACAACATTATAGGTCTAATACATATTTTATAAATCAGGAGTTTATTGTTTTTGGTAACAGAGATGTTCCTGCATATTAAAGGATAGAGTATGGATATAGCGGCATTAGTTTTATTAATTACCTGAGCAATATGTTTGGTAAAAGTCAATTTAGAATTTAAAATTAAGCCAAGATATTTGGCAGAGTCAGTTAGATCAACAATATGCCCATACATACTCAGCTTATTAGAAAACGAGCTTTTCTTGTGGCTAAAGATTGTGGCAGTAGTTTTGTCAGTGTTTATTTTAATTTTCCACGCAAGAAAATACTGTTCTAATAGTTTAATATGACTTTGTAGATTTTTTAATATCATATCTTTGCTCCATGATGAAGAATACACCGCTGTATCATCAGCAAATAGTGCAATTGATGTGTTTTTAATTTTAGGTATGTCATTAATATAGAGCAGGAATAAAGTTGGCCCTAAAATAGAACCCTGAGGTACTCCAGCCACAATCTTGCGTTCCGTACTCAATTCGCCAGCCACACTGACAACAAACCATCTGTTTTGCAGGTAATTGTCTACAAATTTAATTATATAAGTAGGAATATTATTGAGACTCATCTTATATACAAGGGCTCGGTGCCATACAATATCAAAAGCCTTTTCAATGTCGAGAAGCAATAGACCAGTGTTTTGACCTTTATTGAACTTGAGACTAATGTGGTCTGTAAGCCTAGCAAGTTGTTGATTTGTACTGTGCGACTCTCTAAATCCGAATTGTTCGGGAATGATGATATCATTCGATTTTAAATAGTTAGTGAGTCTTTTGTTAATTACTATCTCTAATACTTTGCTCAAAGTTGACAATAGGCTTATCGGTCTATAAGAATTTGGTAGTTGCTTAGGTTTACCGGCCTTGTGGAAAGCTAAAATTTTTGCTTTTTTCCAGTCATTTGGAAAATATGATAGACTAACACAAGCATTTATTATATACATGAGTTGTACCAAAGCTTTTTTGCTAAGATTTTTAAGAATAATATTATGAAAACCGTCTAAGCCGAGGGCTTTTTTAGGTTTTGTTGCTTTGATCGCGGTAGCAATTTCACGAGGTGATATATGAGGGAAGTCTGACTTACTGATTTTATTATTTAATAAATTTTGGTAATGACTATTGACTTGTTGTTCAGTTGTTTTGTTGCTGAGGCCTTCTGTTAAGTGGTGGACATTTTCAAAGACGTCTGCAATAGAATTAGCTTTGGATTTATCATCCAATGCTAGCCCATTGCTGGTCTGTAGCACAGGAATAGTGTTAGAGGTATTTTTAAGCACTTTAATAGCTTTCCAAAGACTATGGTCACGAACATCAAGAGATTTAAGTTTATTGATTAGCTTGTTGTTATTATAAATATTAACTTCTTGTTTGATTTTATCAGTGTATTGCTTAAGTAGATATTTGTAGTATGGGTGGCGAGTTCGTTGGAACTTTCGCCGGAGCATATTGCGAATTCGTATTCGTATGGACAATCGTATGGACGGTGTGGCTTAATGTATATAGAATAAGTGAAAGGAAATTTACTTGTGTATAGAATATGCGAGAAAAAATTATTAGATAGCTTGGACTGGGATTCGAACCCAGAACCTTCCGAAGACATGTCGGCTACTCGACCATTTGAGCTATCCGGTCTATATTAAATTTCCTTTCACTTATTCTATATACATTAAGCCACACCGTCCATTTTACGGTTAGCATTTTTAACATGTCCCCGTCCTGCAGGGCGTGTAAACAACATCCGGAGACGCTTATGTACCTTTTGTCAGCATGCCCTGTGCTGGCGAGAAGTGCATATATCGAGCGTCATAATGCTGCCCTGAGAGTATTGTACTATTATCTTCGTCATTGCTACGGTATTGATGTGACACCAGTGCTGCCTTATCTGCCAGGAGATATTCCCCGGGTTGTTGAGAATGACAGTTGCAAAATCTATTGGAACATGTCATTTGCAACAACCCGGCGGATAGATCACTACAAACCTGATATTGTGCTCTTCGATAAGGCTACTCGTGACATTTATGTCATATAGTTTGCGGCCCGGGCTGAATACAACATCTCAGCCAAAGAAGAGCACAAAAGATAAATATATCAGGATCTCCTGTTTGAAATTGGTAAACTTTACCCAGGTTACCGTGTCAAGCTTGTCGTTCTGATTGTTGGCGTCCTTGGAGGGATGAAACAGTCTTTTGTATCCTCACTTGCCAGAGTTCCAGCTTGCTCATCAAAAGCTGAGTTCTTGGCAGTCAGGATGCAGAAGGCTGTGCTACTAGGTTCCCTCCGTCTACTTAGAGAAATGACTTTGGCCTGCTGTGATCACTAACCGCCTTGTTGTGTGGAGTGGTCCAGCAGTAATGGATGGAGCTCAGGCTGGGCCCTCGGAGATTCGGACTCCGGGGACAACCCCCCTGAGCTTTTAATAACATAATAATAATAATAATAATAATAATAATTATAATTATATAGTATAGTCCGGATAGCTCAAATGGTAGAGTAGCCGTCATGTCTTCGGAAGGTTCTGGGTTCGAATCCTAGTCCGAGCTATCTAATAATTTTTTCTGGCATATTCTATAAACTCACATTAAGAAGTTCCTGATAATTAGGACCTTTCTCAGTCCTATTCTCTCCCGGTTCACAGCATTATTTATATTTGTTATATAGAATATTTGTAAATGTAAATAATGCTGTGAAGCGGGAAAGAATAGGAGTTACGGATAATTTATTACGTGAAGCGTTCCAACATTCACGTTACAGGATAATTGGTAGGAAAGGATTGAGAAAGGATTGTGGAGAGGATCATCTTAATGTGAGTATATAGAATATGCGAGAAAAAATTATTAGATAGCTCGGACTGGGATTCGAACCCAGAACCTTCCGAAGACATGTCGGCTACTCTACCATTTGAGTCGACATTTATGTCATAGTGTTTTCGGCCCCGGCTGAATACAACATCTCAGCAAAAGAAGAGCACAAAAGAAAAATATATCAGGATCTCCTGTTTGAAATTGGCAAACTTTACCCAGGTTACCGTGTCAAGCTTGTCGTCCTGATTGTTGGCGTCCTTGGAGGGATGAAACAGTCTTTTGTATCCTCACTTGCCAGAGTTCCAGCTTGCTCATCAAAAGCTGAGTTCTTGGCAGTCAGGATGCAGAAGGCTGTGATACTAGGTTCCCTCCGTCTACTTAGGGAAATGACTTTGGCCTGCTGTGATCACTAACCGCCTTGTTGTGCGGAGTGGTCCAGCAGTAATGGATGGAGCTCAGGCAGGGCCCTCGGAGAGTCGGACTCCGGGGACAACCCCCCTGAGCATTTAATAACATAATAATAATATAAATAAGAATAAAAATGAAAGTAAAAATAATAATAATAATAATAATAATAATAATAATAAAAATAATAATAAAAATAAAAATAAAAATAAATATAAAAATGTGAGTGAAACTAAAAAAACGAGAAATGAGGTAAACTGCAAAATTTTCTGCTGGAACATTGTGGGGCTAAAAGACTACTCAGAGCCAAATAATATAATAGAGAGATATGAAATAGTGTCGTTATTAGAAACGTGGATAGAAGAAAAAAATAAAAAAAACAGTATTGGAATAAATGAGTGAAAAAATGACGTGGTTTATAAAGGTGGCAGAAAGAAAGAAGCAAAGTAAAAGAGGAAGAGCGAGCGGGGGTTACATGATCGGGATAAAAAAAGACTTGAGTGAAGACTGGGAAGTGAAAGAATGGGACTATGGTTTTAAGTTGATAAATAAAAAAGAGAGTGAAATGTTGATAACAGTTTACAATAACGTCGGAATAGATGCGTTGGAAAAAAAAATAAAAAAAGAGGTTAGAGAAATGGAGAATATAATAGAAAAGAAAATAGTGCTAGGGGATATGAATGCAAGAATTGGAGAAAGTGATGTGACTAAAATAAATATGATAAGTGAAAAGAAAAGAAAATCCAAGGAAAAAAAGCTCAATGCAGAGGGGAATAAATTACTGAGCTTATGTGATGAATTGGGATTAAAAATCCTTAATGGTGTTAAAGAGGGAGACGAAGAGGGGGAAATAACTTTTATAGGGGGAAAAAGTGAAAACTGCTGCTCGGTATTGGACTTAGTGTTATTATTAGACAGAGGAGAAGATGACGGAGTTAAAAATCTAAAGATTATAAAGAGAATAGAATCAGATCATTTACCAATAGTGGTGGAACTAGAGAGAAAAAATGCTGATAAAAAGAAAGAGGAAGAAAATAGCGATGTATGTAAGGGGATGAAAAAATTAGAACAGGAAAGACTAGTGTGGAAAAAGGACAATATAATGGACTACAGAAATGCGGCGTATGACGACTGGCAAGAGCGAAGAGAAATAAGTGATGAGTTGCAGTGGAGTGACATAAAAGAAATAATACATAATGCAGCGAAAGCGGCAGGAATGAGTAAAAAAGCAAACAGTGGAAAAAAAGAGGTGATTATAGAAAAGAATGATTCAATAATGAATGTAAAAGGTTGAGATCAGTGGTGTGGGAAAAGCTAAAAATTTTACTAAAGAAAGGGCATGATGAAATAAATAAAAAAGAATTTATAAAGGCGAAAAAAAATTTTAAAAGTGCAGTAAAAAAAGCTAAGGAGGAGTGGTGGGGAGAAAAAAAGAACGAAATAGCGAAAGCAAAGGACATGAGTAAATGGTGGGAGGTGATTAATAAATTTAGAAGGAAAAGAAAAAAGAACAAAAGTGCAAAGATAGACAGTGAGGGATGGATAGAGCATTTCTCCAAATTACTCAATAAAAATGAGCAAAATGAAGTGACAAACACAGAAATAAACAGAGAAGGGATAGAAGAGGAGCAAAGTGAGGACAAACGGGAGACTAGATGAACCATTCGGGAGACTTGAATTTATAAAGGCGGTGAAAAGGCTAGGGAACAGGAAAGCTTCAGGGGAGGATGGAATTGCTGCAGAATTTATGAAAAACTTACCAAGAGATGTACTGGAAGAGATCAGAGAAATAATTAATAAAATGTGGGAGGAGAGCAAGTTCCAAGAAGGGTGGGAGAAAGCAAGAATAATTCCAATTTATAAGACAGGAGATGTGAATAAGGCGGAGAATTACAGAGGGATATCTTTGCTGGACATTGGATATAAAATACTTACAGCAATGATGGCGGAGAGAATAGTGCAGTGGACTGACAGAGAAGAAAAAATAAAAGAGAGCCAAGCTGGTTTTAGAAAGGGAAGAGGAACTAGAGATCATGTTTTCATGCTGAATATGCTGATTAATAACCAATTAAAGAGGAAAGAAAAACTGTTTATGTGCTTTATTGACCTGAGACAGGCCTTTGATACGGTGGATAGAAGAATGCTATTAGAAAAGTTGTGGAAATTAGGAATAAGAGGGAAAATGCATAAAATGATAAAAGTGATTTATGGAAATACGACAAGCGAAATAATAATAGAGGGAACGAAGACGAGGGAATTTGGTATAAATCAAGGTGTCAGACAAGGATGTGCATTGAGCGCGGTGTTATTTAACATATTCATCGATGATATGGAGGATGAGATAGTGAGGAAGAACATTGGAGGGACGGTAATAGGAAAAGAAAAACTATTTATGGCAAAATACGCAGATGACGGAGCGGCAGTAGCGAATACAGCGGAAGGCATGAGAGAGATGATAAAAGAAATTGAAAAATATGTGGATAAGAATAAATTAAAAGTAAATGCGGAGAAAATTATTTATATTTGTTAAAAATGCTAACCGTAAGATGGACGGTGTGGCTTAATGTATATAGAATAAGTGAAAGGAAATTTAGTATAGACCGGATAGCTCAAATGGTAGAGTAGCCGACATGTCTTCGGAAGGTTCTGGGTTCGAATCCCAGTCCGAGCTATCTAATAATTTTTTCTCGCATATTCTATACACTCACATTAAGAAGTTCCTCTCCATAATCCTTTCTCAATCCTTTCCTACCAATTATCCTGTTACGTGAATGTTGGAACGCTTCACGTAATAATTATCCGTAACTCCCATTCTTTCCCGCTTCACAACATTATTTATATTTGTTAAAAATTTTGAGCAAATGCGGCGAAAACTAAGATCATGATTTTCAGAAATGGAGGGAAAAATGTAGAGAAAAACTGGAATTACAAGAAGGAGAAGCTAGAAGTTGTCAATGAATTTAAATACCTTGGATATATACAGGGTGATTCAAAATTAGTGTCACAGCGAGAATATTTAGATAGCGGAAGCGATTCTAAGCAGAAAGTTCCTTTACCAATTTACAAAATTTTGAGTCATTTCGGAGTAATTTAACTTTAAAATTGACCAATCAGAATTAAGGATTAAAATTAAAAAAAGAATCAATAGTAAATTTGACAACACCGCATAAGGCAACTTCATGTCGTATTTAATTTTTTTTATTTATATAAAAAATATTAATTTAAATATTTAAAATAATTCTCACAAAACAAAAGACATTCAGAATAAAAGTTTAATTTTTTTTTATTTTTTTTCTATTTGCAATTACTTATTGTCTTTTTTAAATTAACAAGCTTACATCGGTATCCGGGGGATGGCACTTGGTTACGTTGGCATACTTACGGCTGGACCGACTTATCGGTGGAAAACTGTACAATCATTAACCCTGTACCCCTTGGAACTGGGATACAGTGAACGATTATTTGGGAAAACCGCAGTAAAACTCCAGTTAGGTACAGCCGCAAAAAAAACGGCCTGATATCGCTGAAAAACGCTAAAACACATTCCTCGTATTTAACGGGAATCAAAGCCTTGCCTCAATAGTCCCAAGTCAAACATCGTGTTCATAATTTTAGATGGCATCATGCGTGGTCAAGGCGTCTTGCTACTGGTGCTCATTATTCTCATATTTATGGTTCTGCTTAACATCTTGCTCATGCTCGCGCTGATCATCGTACTCGTGATCACCCTAGACATCGTGCTCGTGATCACACTAGACATTGTGTCTGTGATCTCGCTGAACATCGTGCTCACGATCGCGCAGGACATTTTTTTCGCTGTCACGCTGAACATCTTCCTCGCTGGATAACGCGCCGACGGTCCCGCTGGATATCTTGCTTGATATCACGCTGACGGTCTTGATAGATATCGCGCTGACGATCTCGCTGGATATCTCACTGAATATCGCGATAATTATCTTGCTGCTTATCTCGCTGGACATCTTGCTTGATATCACGCTGACGGTCTCGATAGATATCGCGCTGACGATCTCGCTGGATATTTCGTTGAATATCTTGCTGGACATCACGCTGACGATTTCGCTAGATATCGCGCTGACGTCTCGCTGGATATCACGCGGACGGTCTCGCTGGATATGGCGCTGACGATCTCGCTAGATATCTTGCTTGGTATCACGATGGCGATGGCGCTAGATATCGCTCTGACGTCTAACTGTTTATTTTGATGGATATCGCGCTGACAGTCTCGCTGGGTATCGTTCTTACGATCTCGCTGAATATCGTGCTAAATATCTTGTTGAATATTGCGCTAACTTTCTCTCTAGATATCGCGCTGATGGTCTCACTGAACATCTTGATGGATATCGCGCTGACGGTCTCGCTGGATATCGCACTGACGGGCTCGCTGGATATCGCACTGACGGGCTCGCTGGATATCACACTGACGGTCGCTGGATATCTTGATGGATATCGCGCTCATGATCTTGCCGTTCATCTCGCTGGATATCGTGCTGAATTATTTTGCTATTTAGCACAATCTCTAGCAACTCTGTTAGCAAAATTACTAGCAAGATATTTAAGAAAACCGTCAGTAGTATAATGAGTATGACGAGATAACCAGAACGAAGTTTATTGACATTAACAGCAAGATGTTTAGCATGATCACCAGTTAGTCGATCAGAAAGATATTCCACGATGGGGATCTGTAAGACGACTAATATGATGCTCAACGAGAAAAAGATTAAAATCATTAGCAAATTTTTAGCAAAGCGCTCCTTATAGAAAATTTAACTTCTCCAGTAAATGTATTTCCTCTTATGCTAAAAGTAAGGTATCTTTTTATTAGTTTTTACTAAAATTATCAATGCAAACAATTTTTCAATAATTTATTAAACCGCAATTTATTTCTTTGAAAATTTTCAAATCATTTTTTCGGATTTTTTAAATTATACCAAAACAGTGACACCATCGCGGAAATAGTCAGGGAAGCTTCCTGTAACCTCAAAACGTCGAGATCTGATGAAAAATCGATTTTCGAAAAACGGGGAAAATCTTCGATTTTCTTAGCGAGAAGTTAAAAAAAAAACAAGAAGATGTAATGTCCAAATTCTTAAATTGTAATATAAGTATAAATATTTTTATTATTTTAATTGACAATCAACGAATTATCAAATTAGTGTAGTAAGTGTTCGAAATGAGCTCCATTTGCCTAAATGCAACAATTTAAACGTTTCAAAAAATTTGCTCGGCAGTTGTCAAACATTTCAGGTGTTATCTCTTCAAGCGCATCAAAAACTCAATTCAGTAAATCATCGATATCATCTACTGAATGACGATATACGATTGATTTTACGTGTCCCCACAAAAAGAAATCGAGTGGATTAAGATCTGGAGATCTTGGTGGCCAATCCAATACGCCTCCACGTCTAATGAATCGTTCATTAAAACGAGCATGAAGCCATGCTTGAGAAACTCCTGCTGTATGGGCAGGAGCACCGTCTTGCTGGAACCACATGCGCCTGTATTGACGACGTTGAATTCCAGCTTCATTACAGAGTTGTTGAAAGTGGTTCTCCAGGAAATCAACATAAACAGCCGCAGTCAAATTATCTTGGAACTCATGAGGACCAACCTAAAAGTTTGTAACAAAAAATAAAAATCAGTGATACTTGAAAATATCCGACAATTCACTGTTCAGCTAATTATGACGAAAAAGTAGTACTTACAACAGTTCTCTGACCAAAATGAAGTCCTGCCCAGATATTAATTGAAAACCGTTCTTGATGGTTCCGTAATACAGTACAATGAGGATTTTCTTGAGCGTACCAATGAAAATTTCGCGTATTCCAAAAATTGTTCCTTCCGAAAGTACTTTCGTCAGTAAATAAAATTTTATCAATGAAAAACTCATCGTTATCCAGACGATGTAAAATCTCACGACAGAATGTCAGACGAATCGGAAAATCTTCAGCTCGGAGCTCCTGAACGCGTTGGTAGTGGTAACCATGAAGTTTCTCCGTTTTTAGTGTCCGTTGAACAGTACCGTAAGATAAATGAAGTTCTTTGACTACTCCACGGATACCAATTTCAGGGTTGTCTTCAACGGCCGCAATTATAGCCTCCTCATTTTCCACGTTACGAGCATTCCGTGGCGCTCCAGCTTCACGATGATTTGGTAAAAGATTACCAGTTTGACGAGTGCGGTTAACGAGCCTCAAAAAAGTACGAGTACACGGATGTCTACGATTCGAATGTCGCAATGAGTACATACGAACGGCTTCAGCGGCATTACAATCAGCCATGCCATACGTAATTAACATATTTGTATATTCAGCAGCTGTATATTCAGCCATATTTGAACATAAAAAACCAACAAACTAAAGATAGATCAATTCCGCACAAACAACACTAATAATTGAAAAAATCAAATATTATTAAAAATAATAAAATATTTTCTCAATTAGTGACACGTCAAACACGCGCGGTAAAAAAAAGAAAAGAGAACCGCAAAGACTTCAGTCTTATACAAAAATTAGATAATAAATCAGCTAAGTTCATGAAACAAAACAATTATGATAATTATTCTATAAAAATTTGAACATCGATTTTCAAATAACCATTAACGAACACGACAAAGAAGTGCAAGTGAGAATAGAATTTTTTAAAGTGAATAAACTACGAGCTAACGAAAATATTCATAGACAGACTGTTTAAGAAATCAGTAGAGGAAATCAGCAATTAAATAAGCATGAATATCAGAAAAATAATTAGCGTCATAGAAAGTAAGAAGATCAAAAAGAAAAGCAACAAATTGACCAGGAAAAGGGTCAGAAAGATGTCCAACGCGAGCACGAATATGATGTTCAGCGCGATCGTAAGCATGATGTCCAGCGCAAGCACAAGCAGGATGTTCAGCAGAACCATAAACATAATTATGGGCAAGATCAGAAGCAAAATGCTCAGCAAGCCAGGAATCTGTTTTCGCTAAAAGAGAGAGAAAAAAAAGTCTGAGCCGAGCTTTCTGATTGGCTGTAAAAAATTTGATATTTTTTTGTTTCTCGTAATCAGCTGAAGCTAGTAGTAGAGTGAGAAATGAGGATTGTATTGCTAATCCAAATTCAAGAGTTGATAAAAAATTAAAATTTTTATTTAAAAAAATGAAAAAAAAAAAAACAACACTATTCTCAGAATTTAATTTCACATTGAATGAGTGATTTTTCATATTTTTATCAAAATTTTTTAGATTTTTCTCTGCAAATTTACACAGGATTCTCACAAAAATTTTCGTGACAATGTAACATAGTAATGGTTACCATTCTACGTAGGAATAACATCAATTCCTTTCTCTCCGTATTCCATTATTTTGTATTGACTTGATTAAATTTTATATTTATTGAGAATTATGGAAAATGAAATTATCCGCAAAAAAATACAAAAGTATATTGCCCCAAGTTCAACCCTGGAGAAATAACAGTTGATTATTGACGGAGAAATAAAATATCAACAACAAATTAAAATTTAATTTGGTTTTAGTTTTTATCTTAAAATTTTGTCTTGAAATTTTGTCTTGAAATTTTGTCTTGAAATTTTGTCTTGAAATTTTGTCTTGAAATTTTGTCTTAAGATTTTGTCTTGAAATTTTGTCTTGAAATTTTGTCTTGAAATTTTGTCTTGAAATTTTGTCTTAAAATTTTTGTCTTGAAATTTTTGTCTTGAAATTTTGTCTTGAAATTTTTGTCTTGAAATTTTTGATAGATTTCATAGAAATCTAACTATTGCATCGGTCCTCATGACACAAATTTAAAAAAGTTTTACTCTATTCCGACTTAAGTCGACTAGCTGAGTCAGAAAATACATATGATTCGAAATTTATATGATTCATATATGTGTATATGTATAAATTTATATATTTACATACATGAGATAGAACGCGACTTGCCACGACAATAGTGTCAACAAATCTTAAGGGATCCTAATAAAACTCACCATACTTTTTTCATAGACGATTATGAAGGTCAAGTTCAAATATGAGCTCAATCGGTCAATTCCTTTAGAAATTACAGCATCTTTAAATTTTGAAAATTTCACACTCTAAGTACATCACTTTCAAATAACTTTTGAACGCGTCGAGATATTAAATTTCTGTGAAATGCATCTACAAGCTGAGGAATTGAGCTACAATTTACAAGTTTTTTTAAATAAAAAAAAATCCATCTTCGGATCATTTTGAAGAAATTTTACTTTTGCAGTTTTTTTAAGTGTTTTAACCTAAGTACACCCCTTTAGAATTTATGACTGATTGTTGGATGAAAAATAAGATATCAATATGAAATTTTGTTCTTTTTTGGCAATCTTTTTATTCCTAGATGTGAGTTGAGATTTTAAGAAATTCGAATTCCCTACAAAAAAGTCCATAACAGCTTGTGATCTGAGTCCTTTACGTAAAGAATAAAGCTTAATTGTCGGTTGAGGACTTGAATTTCAGTAGTCAATTACAATTCCATTTTTTGTTTTAATTTGAATACATCTACATATTAGCTGACGATTGAAGAGAATAGAATTCTTTACAGTAAGATAGGTACAAGTTTTTGACCTGAGCCCCGCTTAGAAGAAATTACGCTTGGCTGTTGATCAACATTTAGATTATTAATAAAAAATTAAAATTTATTATTGTGCTTCTTAGTATTAATCTGATTGTTCCTAGGTATTGGTTGATAATTATAGAAAATGAAATTCTCTACAAAAAAAAATCCTGAGGTGTTTTGACCTAAGTCTAGCCCTGGAGAAGTTACGCTTGGTTGTTGGCTGACATGTAAATTATCAATAAAAATTAAAATTTATCTCTCAGCTTCTTTTTATTAATCTTATTATAGCTAGATATTGATCCAGAATTTTAGAAATTTAAATTTCCTTTATGAAGGTCAAGATGAGCTTCTGATCAAAGTCCAGCCCAGGAAAAATTCCGCCTAATTATTGCTTAGGACTTAGATTTTTATGGTGACTCTTAATCCCATCGTCCATTTTTTTTATCGATTTGGATAAAACTAGATATAAGCTTGTGCCCGAAGTCCAGCCCAGGAAGAATTACGCCTAATTATAGTTAGATTTCTATGAAATCTATCAAAAATAAGACTAAAATTCAAGACAAAATTTTAAAACAAAATTTTAAGACAATAACTAAAACCAAATTAAATTTCAATTTGTTGTTGATATTTTATTTCTCCGCCAATAATCAACTGTTATTTCTCCAGGGTTGAACTTGGGGCAATATACTTTTGAATTTTTTTGCAGAGAATTTTATTTTCCATAATTCTCAATAAATATAAAATTCAATCAAGTCAATAAAAAATAATAATCAAGTCAATACAAAATAATGGAATACGGAGAGAAAGGAATTGATGTTATTCCTACGTAGAATGGTAACCATTACTATGTTACATAGTCACGAAAATTTTTGTGAGAATCCTGTGTAAATTTGCAGAGAAAAATCTAGAAAATTTCATAAATTAATTTAATTTATCAAGAAGATGTCCAGCGTGACCATAATCACGATGTCTAGCGTGAGCACAAGCAACATGTTCAGGAAGATGTCCAGCGTGACGACGAACAAAATGTCTTGCGCGTTCGCGAGCAAGATGATTAGCGTGACAGTGACCAAGATATCCCGCGTGACCATGAGCGCGACGGCTAGCGTGACCATATCAAGCGAGACCGTCAGCGCGATATCAAGCAAGATATCCAGCGAAACAGTCAGCGTGATATTCAGCGAAGAAGATGTCCAGCGCGACAGCGAATAAATGTCCTGCACAATCGTGAGGACGATGTTCAGCGAAATCACAGACACAATGTCTAGCGTGATCACGAGCACGATGTCTAGGGTGAGCACGAGCACGATGATCTGCGTGAGCATGAGCAAGATGCCGAGTGCAACCACGAGCACGATGTTCAGGAAGATATTCAGCGTGACAATGACCAAGATGTCCTCCGTAACCATGAGCACGATGGCTAGCGTGGCCGCGGGCGTAAGTACTGCCGACGTAACCAAGTACCATTCCCCAGTCACCGATGCAAGCTTGTTAATTAAAAAAAGACATTAAGTAATTACAAATAGAAAAAAAAAATTAGAAAAACGGTTCACCCTAAAGGCCATCCCTGCAACTTCCCGCTCATTTTGTACTTAAACGCTTCAAACTACACATTATGTTTTTGAGCTCTTCGAGCTCAAAAATATTGTTTTTGTGTCAATTTAAGCTCTTTAAAGACACAATTTTTGGAATTTCTCAACGGCTATAACTTTTGAATGAATGAACCGATTTTCAGGTGGTCGGCGGCAATCGATGTAGTTTTTCGAGCTCTATAAAAAAGTAGCTGTTTTAGGCTTTTGAGCTCTTCGAGCTCAAAAATCTTATCGAAGTTTGATAAAACACGATTTTTTTTAATTTTCAAACTGCTATTACTTTCGAATGAATGAACCGATTTTCACGCGGTTGGCAGCAATCGACGCAGTTTCTGAAGCTCCATGAAAAATTTTCAAGTTTAAATCGATCGAGCCATGAATTTCGACGATATTACGTTTTTTTTTACTTTTTTTTCACTTTTATTGGATTTTCTCGAAATCTACCGGTCCGAATCGGTTCAAATTTTCAGGAAATCTAAGTTTAGTGAAGCCCTTTCGAATGACACCAACCGCGATTAAATCGGTTAAGTCGTTCAAAAGTTACGAGAGGTTTACACACACACACACACACACACACACACACACACACACACACACACACACACACACACACACACACACACACACACACACACACACACACACACACACTCGGGGCAGAAGAGATACTGCTACCGGGCGCGTCTCCTCGAGCGGATGGGAGAACGCTCGCTGTCCTTGGATGACGCTTGGATAATCTCTTAGTTGATGGGGTACAGCGGGTAGGAGTCAAGCAAAATAACCAAACAAAATACGCTCCCGTGGACAAAACTCCCTTTTAATGGGTTGGTCACACTAACTGACCTAACAAGACGATCGGTCCCTGCTGTAACTCACTGGGAGTGTCCGGAACCTGTATCGTAGTTTCCGACGATGCAGGCCACGGCTGATGTGAGCTTGCTCTGCCGAGGTGTAAGTTGCAGTAGTGGATCAGGAGCCAGTCACTTCGGGCCTTGATCAGGAAGTACGCAGTGAGTCTTAGAGATCGGAATCTTCACCGCCCCGAGCGAGTCTAGTCCGTCCGTGTATTCCGGGACTGGCTAAGTGTCGGCTAGGCCTCAGGGAACTGGGGTAGGAGCACTATCTCCGAGGGTACACCCGTTCCTAGTTATGACAACCCGCTCCACTCCGTACGAT